GCGCCAGGCTCTTGCCCTCCTGCATCTGAGATTTTCCCCCTGCCGCACGCCGGCCTCCGCCCGCAGGCAAAGCCTCTCTGGGGTCACGTACCTGGAAATCCACCTGCCAGGGCTCGGGGCTGACCTGCTGCAGGTCCTGCAAGTGGGTTTTCCGAAGGGGGTTTTTCACCAGGGCGGTGCCGGGATCACTGGCCGTGGGCACCTTCTTGCAAGGCTCGTGGTCGGCGATTTGGGTGGTGCTGTACGCCCGTCTCCTGGAGGAAGGCTTCACGTCCGTTCCTGCATGGCGGGAGAGAGGATCAGCACCGCTTCTGCGCGGGGCCAGCCAGCACCACCCACCCTTGGCTCAGGGTGGGCAGCAGGGAGCCCAGCCCTGTGGTCCTCCCAGGGCCGGGGGGGCCACGCTCAGCCCTGCCCTGTTCTAAGCGAAACAATGAAACCGCAAAAGGAAATAAGAGCCTACACTCAAAACTCCTGGGGATGTCGGGAGAGCAGGCTGGGGAGGTTTTGTCTGAGCAGTTTTCAGCCAGAAAAAGCCTGACTGCATTTCCCCAAACCTCCCTGGAGAAGACAAAGGGTTTACTAATGAAATTTCATTAGCGCAGACATTCTCCTGTCAGAGCAAGAGTAAAATTTCATTTGGAAAGGCATAATTTCTCGTTGCTTTTGACAAGGTTGAGGGGATGCACAGCACAGTTCCTCTCTGAATCTAAGGGAAGAACATCCCACGAGTAACAGAGGTTTCCTTGTCGCATGGAAATGCAGCCAGCTCCGGGGTGCAACCAGCCACTTTATGCCACATGTCGCTGACACAAGTGACCAGCCGAACTGTGATGGTGAGGGGTGACACCCTGGGGACGGGGCTTTGGATCCATTCCCCCCCTTCCTGACCTTGAACTGCAACGTCAGGGCTTGCAGGGAAGCGACTGCTTTGCAGGTGCAGGGACAGTCTAGCTGGGCTACCCATTTGCTCGCTCCTCTCCTTCTCCGCACACCGGGGGCAGCTTGGGAAGCTTGTAAATAATTATGTGGCCAAAGCTAGAGCTGCTTTGAAAATCTCTGGGGAAGCCAGTTCTCCAGGGCTTCCCTTGATTTCCTGACAGGTTTGGATAAAACACCCAAACCAAATAGACTCGCTCAAGCCTCGGGAGATCTGTCATCCTTCCTGCAAACCCCTCCAGCTCTTTGCAGATACAGCCGAAGAGACTTATTTGTCAGACAAGCAAATAGGCAGAGCAGCGACAGAAGCTTGATTAGAAAGACAGGGGCATCGCACCCACGCTTGTACAGAGGAAAATCTGACCGGTGTCCGTGTCGGATTCTCCCCCGGGATCTCTGCCCACCACCAGGTGACCGGGGGCATGCTCGGCGGGGCAGCAGCCCTCCGAGTCTCTGGAGTGGTTCCAGCTCTCCACGCCTGCTGCCTCCTCCTGGGAGTGAAAGAAAACAGAGCTGCCCGACTCCTGGGAACGCATCATGCTGTAACGTCGCCTCTTGTCCTGGGGGAAGGAGCAGAGAGGGAACAGGTCCTACCACTGCGTCCACCAGCCATCTCCCAGCCCAGAGGAGCCACTGCTTGGGCACCAGCGCCTTATCCACTGACCTCCTATTTCTCCCCGATGTCTCACCCACCATTTCCCTTGAGGACAGAGCAAGAAAGCAAGAGACACCTCCTGACCACGCACAAAGAGCTGAGACGCCTGCCTGTGCACGTGCACACCAACCCCCCCTGCTCCCGGCCCCAGCCAGCGCCGCACGGACTCACAGATCTGGGGTTGGAGATGTACGGGGAGGTGTCGCAGATGACGCCGTAGCCAACCAGGCGGTCACCAGGGAAGAGGCAACTGGTGCTGACGGGGGAAACCAAGACCTCAGTGCTCTCAGGAAAGACCCACTCCACGGACACGTCACTCAGGACCGGCGCCATCGCCTTCTTCAGCGACTTGATCATCTGAGGCAGAAAGCAAAGGGGAGCAGTTATGCAGCAAGTGGACGTTGCGTGTGCCACGGTGCACGCACTGTGTGTTGCAGGGAAAAGGGAAAATTTCCGCAAACAAATCCATCAGCTGATTTGTATCCTCTCCTGACCTTAGATGGGAGCCTGCTCCCCCTTTGACTGCTCTGACACCCATCCCAGCACCCCCAGCCCCTTGGCACGGCTATACCAAGGGCAGCAGAGCAGATATTGGTAAAGCACAGGGCTGATCTCACACTGCACGTTGCCAGCTCAGAGCAAGGTGGGAGCCTGAGGCCAGAGATATCTTGCTCCGGTGCGAGGCACCATCCCCTGCTCCCCCCCAGCACCCAGGAAAAGCTGTTGACCTTCACTCGCCCGAGCCCCGGCCCTGCCCCAAGCCCCACACTCACGCACCGATCGCCAGCACTGCTATTTTTGGTACAGGTCCTTGCTGGCACAAGCCACTGCTGGAGATCAGCAATGCTCTGCCAATTACACATGTGGAGAAGACCAATATCCATGAATATCTCATGGACAAACCTACCAGGGAGCCATCTACAAGAGCTTCCCTGCACACCGGGGGACGCGAACACCAGATTTAGAGGCAGAACAGCTCAACTGTTCTCTATTGTTCACTGCTTTTCCACAGGCTCAGGAAGACACACCAGGCTGTTTTTTATAAGGCCATTAATTGATGCCTCAGACTGCTGAAGGCACCAAGCTGCACCAAGCCCGCAAAGCTCTTTATTAATAGCTCTATTAAAAAAACCTTCTCCTTTCACTGTCTTTGCTTTTAATTTACATCAGAAACGCTGATGCCGTTCTGTCTTAGAGAGGTTTTTGTGCGCTCCAGGTTCCTGCAGAGGGGTGGACTGCTGAACTCCTTTTGAGATCAAGAATGTAGGAGCCAGCTTTTTAGAGATATTTAGGAGCTAAAGACCCAATTCTCTCTGGGTTTAGTCATCCAGCGGACAACAGGCTAGGCACCGTGCTTTCACCAGGGGACAGAGCCATTCTTACGGCGTATTTGAGGCACATCGGTTTACTCAGTCTTCATGGGGAGAGTGGAAATGAAGCAGCTCCCCTCTTTCCTTTAAAGTTGGCTTAATAGGCAAAGCTATCGCAGCGTATTCCTCTCCCTCAAACCCTGGGTACTTCTCGCCTGAGCAACGCCAGGGCTGAGCCTGACTTCAAAACTAATTGGCTGCTTTGATGCCGGTTCCTCTGCCCTCGCCGGTGTCTGAGGCAGCAGCTACCTTTGAAGCCAAAGCTGCTGTATCGTGGCTATCGCTTCTCCCCATCCCTGCGCAGAGGGTGAACACACCCTCCCACTCCCTCCGACAGCCGGAGATGAAGATGCTCTTTCATCCCCTCCCGCTCGCCTACCTGCTGCCGAGTGGGAGTTGGAAAGGCAGCACCAGGATGGGGAATAAGACCCACTAGTGAGCCGTGGCCTCCCCCTCGCTGAACCAGAGCATCGTTAGAGCCTTACACGGTGGTCCTCTGGGAGCAGGCAGCCGTACCTTGGGCTGCAGCCTCTCGCCCTCCGCCAGGAACTCGGCGATGCCCCTGGACACGGCAGCCAGCCCCCGAACCAGTCTCCTGCAGGCGTTTGGTCCAATGCCGAAGCTGTAGCACCTGCGAAGGGACAGGGAGCGTCAGGATCCAGGGGACAAGCCATCCCAACCCCCAGCCCCACGCAGCTCACCCACTCCCCTGGGGCTTTATCCCACTGCTGTGCAGTTATCCAGCATGTCCAGAGGAAAATAAACCAGCTCCTCTTTCAGGTGGCTGGCAGGAGGGTCACCAGCCCCCTCCTCTCAGCAGACCTCAAATCCCTTTCCCGAAGAGCAGCCTTCAGCTGCGACACGCAGGGGCTTCCCAGCAGGACCCCAAGCCCTTGCCTCCTCTGCAAACGCAAACAAGCTGTTCTGCTGCCAGTTCAGCTCTTTTCCCTGCTGAGTGTCTGCGGTCAATAGCACTAAAGACCCCGTAATTATCTCTGCTCACTATTAAAATAAACGTTTTCTCAAGGAAAGAGGAACCAGCCAGGCGAGGCTGCTCCCCTGACTCCCAGCTCAATGAGTCAGGATTTGCTTTTGGCTGAAGGCTGCAAACCCAGAGCTGAGCAGGAGCCTGGGCAGGGAGGGCAGGAGTGAGCAGTGCCCGGTGGGGATGGATGCGGTAGGAAGCCAGGAGGGATGGGGATGGGTGGGATACGGCGTTCAGCCGGGGCAGTGCATTGCTGAGGGAGAAACCGCCTTCAGCAGCAAACTGCATCCGCACGAGGAGCTTTTCTCTTAGAGGTTTTTAATCCCCCGCTGGCTGCAAATCTTAGGTCAGGCTCACACCCTCTTAAATAAGGCTCTGATCTTCTTTTGAGACAGGGGCCACACACAGGACTCGGCGTTGCGCTGGGCACTGCCTTCCAGGGTCACCCGAGACCGCGCTCTAACTCTGCCTTTAGCCCAGCACCGTGCCTCTGTAAGAGCGAGGGATGGGTTGTCCTGTACAGCTGGGAAGCAGTTAGACCTCCATGTGGTAAAAAAGACAGAGCAGCTTCCCTGATAAGCCCTGAAGTCTGAGGAATAACGTTTTCTTACATTTTTCTTATGTTTCCTGCCCCTTAAAGAGGCAGAGGAGAAACCAGACCAGCCTGTCATCAGGGCTGGGGAATCAGGCTGGGAACTCGATGCACAAATTAGCTGCTTTTTACATTGCTCTCTTTCAGCATATTCAGTTCCGTGCAGCCCCATCCTGGAAGCAGCTGGGGCCAGACCCAGATGTGCTTTAAAAAAAATAAAAAAACCCGGCAAGGAAGATTGTTCGTGTGTCAATCTCTCCTAGCAGGAAGCATCAGACGAGAGCCTGTGAAGTTGTCAGCCCAATTATCCCACTTTTGACTGTTTAAAAAGCATCTGAACTTCTGGGATCTGTTCCAAACGCTTTGAGGTTCTCCCATGGCTCATACCAGCAATCTCTCCTGCCTTTATCTCCGAAGCGGGGACGTCTGTGAGATGGAGCCGTGGTCAAGGAGAAGCACGTCCCCCACCATGCCAGGCTTTCGCCCCCACAGCGGCCAGCCCTGCTGCCCTCCGTACCTGGTGGAGCAGGAGTGGTTTCGCAACAGCTCCAGGACCTTCCCCGTGTTGCTGACGGCCCCGTCCGTCAGCAGAAAGAGCAGTCGGGGATGGCCCCTGTGGATGGGCTGCCGAATGACCCACTTCAAAGGCGACAAGATGTTGGTGCCACCCATATCGGCCCGGATCCTCTTGATGCTCTCGCAGGCGATGGCCAGGCTCTCCTGCCCAAAGGAGCAGCAGAATCGTCAGCCTCTGCACCAGGGCCCTCCGAGCACCAAGGAAACATGGCTCCCCCTTCACCCACCTCGCAGTAAGTCTGACTGGCAGGAAAGAGGGTCTTGAAGGTGGATCCAAACCCAATGACGTTGAAGAGACACGCTGGCATCAGGCTCTTGAGAATGACCAGCAGGGCATCCTGGGGGGCGGAAAGCAAGCAGACGTCAGGCACGCCGGGTCTCTCCCTGGCTGCCCCAGCTTCACCAGTAAAAGCTCTGCCCAGGTGTTACCTTGCCATCACACCTTACTCTCACCTGCATTTGTCTGCACGCATTTGATAATAAAACAACTGTTTCTTTCACATGCACTGCATGTGAAACCACTGCATATTACCCTGCTCTTTCCAACGTCCCTTAATGACATTTGGGTCCCAAAGCAGGGAGGAAAATGGGGAGCCTTCAGAAAAAAAAAAAAAAAAAAGAGCTGAACAAATTCTTCTGTTTGTTTTTAACTGATTAAATTTGTGCTTGCAATACGGTACTGCAGCACAGAGCTAGTGGGTGAGAAGCAGAGTGTGAAATTGAGAAGTGCGACACGCAATGCATTTCAATGTCCAAACTTGCAGAAAATAAACAAACCGCTTAAAGTTACACAAGAGGAAAAGCCTCCCCCATCCCCAATTCTCTTGTATTCATAGCTGGCATCAATTAAAATAACTGGGAGAGACAGTTTTAAGCTATTTTCTTTACCAGAGGTGGTTATCTAACTTGCCTATTCCTGGTCTTTACATAAGGGAAGAGCAATTGAAATTGTCTCAGACATGTGATGGCCATGGACAACTCCAGAACGGAGCTTGTGTTAGCCGCAACTGGGCAAGAGCTACCCAAGGAGTCCTGAGCTTGCAGGGGCAGCAGGAGGAATTACTGTGGCAGGAAAGGGTGGCCAATTTAAAGCAAAGTGCTGGCAGCGTTCAGGAGCAGCTTGGTTCTTTCTGTTTATATGCTGATAAAGGCAGACTCCTGCCAGTCTGCCTAGGGCAGCAGAAACCCTAGAGCCAGCCCCAAGAGAAGAGCTTGCCAAGGTCAGATGAGCAAAAGCCGCCTCCTTGCTTTGTCAGACGCGGTGGCAAAGACCGAGTAACCGCAGAGGGTGGGTGCTGGAGCTGCACGCAGGGAAACCCCCCGCCTGGGAAGAGCCACAGGGAGACGGGTGGCAGGTCAGCCTGGTTCCCAACCCCTGTAAGACTGAGCAGCAAGGCAGAGCCGGAGCACTGCAAATCAGCAAAATAATGTACGAGAACAGGGCTGCCCTTTAACAGGCTCCAAAGGACTTTAAACCAAGCTGTTATCTCAAACCTACGAGAATATATTTATACCTCTGCTTCCCAGATGGCTCCTGGGATGCTGGCTCTTCCAAATCTCAACAGTGACATCCCATCTTGGAACTAATTACAAGATAAAAAAACAGATTTCCAAATATTTTTCCCAAAGTGGGCAACAGATGCCTGCTTTCTGTTTCAGCAAGCAGAAAGATTTATTGCTTCTTGTGGTAAATATTGATCTTGATCCTGTTGCACTCAATATCTATACGGCAGCTCAATAAGAAGAGATGTTTGCCTCCAGAGAAGCTAATTCCCAGTTATTAGTCTAGTTTTGCCGGCGAGCCCACCCGGTGCAGGCACTGTCACAGGCCTGGCTCTTCTCCCCGGCTGCATCGGGACGGGAAA